GCAGAAGGGCGGAATGAGAGGATGAAGGGCGCGATGAGAGAACGAGGGGCGGAATGCGAGGAAGAACGGCGGATGGAGAGGAAAAAGGACGGAAAGAGAGGACGAAGGGCGGAATGAGGAAGAAGGGCGGAATAAGAGGAAGAAGTGCGGAATGAGAGGAAGAAAGGCGGAATGAGAGGAAGAAAGGCGGAATGAGAGGAAAAAGGGCGGTATGAGAGGAAGAAGGGCGGAATGAGAGGAACAAGGGCGGAACGAGATTAAGAAGGGAGGGATGAGAGTATGAAGAGCGGAATGAGATTGCGGATGGGCGAAATGCGAGTAGTTATGATGGAATGAGATTATGGAAGGGCGGAATGAGATCAGGGATGGGCGGAAGGAGATTAGGGGTGGGCGGAATAAGGCGCGGGTTGATGGGGAGGGGGAATGGAGGGGGAGAGCAGGTGCTGCCCGAGGAGGGGGAAGAGAGACGTCGTCCCTTTTGACAGGGAGGTGAGTGCATGGGGGAGGGGATGTACTAGTGGTGAGGGTGGTGGGGAGGAGGAGGGGCAGGGGCTGTGGCATGTGGTGCGGGCATGCGGGGTGGAGTCAGCAGAGGGGCTGAGTGGCGTGGTGGACAAGTGGGGCTGGACCGCCATGCATGTGGCTGCTCGGAATGGTGACTCCCCCGTGGTCAGTCTCACCTGCCTCCCCGCCTGCACCCATGCAGCACAGCCATGCACCAGCTCTCACCCATGCAGCACAGCCATGCACCAGCTCTCACCCATGCAGCACAGCCATGCAGCCCGCTCAACACTCTCTGAACCCACCGTCCATCACGCGTGTGCACTCATCCCTCCCCGTCCACGTGCCTGCACTCACATGCACCTTCAATAATGTCGCAGGCATGGACCGCACTCACCCTGCTGCCCGCTTCTCTCCCTCCCCGCCGTTCTCCCATGCATGTGCCTGCAGCTGCAGGCGCTGTTGCGCATGGGCATGCCAGCGGGGGTGTGCAGCACGCGCAACGCCACCACGCCACTGCACGTGGCGGCGTATGGCGGCCACGTGGACTGCATGTGCCTGCTGGCGGCTGTGCGTGCCTGGCGGCTGTGAGTGCCTTGCGGCTGTGAGTGCCATGATTGGTTCAATGCAAGAACGGTAGAAAGTGCTTCGCTTGTTTCTTTCTCCACCCAGCTTCTTAGCCCTCTTGCCTTCATGCGCTCTACCCTGCGGTGCCCTCTGCACCCCGCTTGAATTGCTCTGGCTCTGCATCTGCTTCCAGAGCCGCTTTCCTCCTCTTTGTATCCCTCCGCCTTCTCTCATCCACCATCCGCCCCCCGCTCTCTGCCCTCCGCCCTCTGCCCTCCCCCAGGGACTCCATTACACAATGCAGTGACCAAGCAGCAGTGGGAGGCAGTGAGATGACTTGCACACCAGGGAATAGAGCCAGCAGAGGTAGAAGCAGCGGGGGCCAACCCCAAGGCGGTTCAGATAGTGTGGGAGGAGCATGCGCGGCGGGCAGGCCAAGGAGGGGAGAGGGGGCATGGGTTTTGGAAGGATGGTGGTGTGGGTGCGAGCTGAGTGGGTGAATTCCTTGTGCTTGATTATCACCATGATGTATGATTGCCTGCTGCCACTGCTTAGTGGCAGAACACAAGGAGGACAGGGTGCTGAGCAGTGGGAAGGGGCGGGAGGGGGGGGTTATAGAGCCGCTCCCAGGGCAGTGGGGAAGGTGAGAGGTGGGGATGAAGCAGGGTGGATGCTTCAGTAGCGCTTGTGGGCCACTCGCTGCTGCTCGCTGCCCGCCTCCTCGCCTCCACTTGATTACCCTCTGCCTTGATTCTGTGCTCTATTTCTGAGTGCTCATCTTGTCTCCCCTTTCCCCTCTCATCTCCACTCTACCCCATCCCTCTTCCTGCCCTCCTGTCCCCATCCTTCTCCCTCAGGAGAGCCGTACACCAACTGCACCGCTCTGAACCCATTTGTGCAGTGGAATCTGCAGCCGCTGCTACCAGCCACTCCCCCCTCCTTCACCCTCACCTCACCACCCCCACCCGCCTTCACGCCGCCATACGCCCTCTCGTCCATCTGCTTGTGGACGTCCCTCTCCGCCATCGCACCTGGTCGCACACAAGCAACAGCCCTCCTGCCACTGCCGCCACACACAAAGCCTGCTGATGCAGATGCTGGCAGTGGAGGCGAGAAGGCAGTGGGGGGCGCAGTTGGTTCGAGTCAGGGCGTGCAGGGGGAGTGGGCAGTGGCGGGGTATGAGGCGATGCGTGTGGTGCAGGTGGGGGGTGGGTGGCGCCAGGGCAGCTATGGCCTGCCCTCCTCCCTCGCTGCCTCTGCTGCACCTGCTGTGTCTGGAAGGCAAGGTGACTTGTCTGGAAACCTTTGTTGCACTTCTTTGTAGTGATCAACTGAATGGCTCAGTTCAGTATCCTAAACACTGAAGTGATTTTTATAAAGAAGCATCCAACATTGATACATGTCATGGGTACTTGTCAAACCGGTACTATTTAATAGCTAAAGCTTAACAAAATTCATGCGTGGCGGACCAGTTCTGACAAAATCCTGAGTGTCAAGGCTGAAGCAGCTGGAGAAGAGGGAGGCTGAAAAGGAGGGGAGGGAAAGGGGGAAATGAGGGGAAGGAGTGAGTAAATTGATGGGGAGCACAAGGGGAAATTATTTTATAGCAGAGGGGGTTCTGTATTGACCTGGTGCAGTAGGGGAATTGATGGGAAAGCAGAGCTGTAATTTATGGGGAGCGGAGGGGGGGATAACAGGGAGCAGAGGGGGGAATAAGAGGGAGCAGAGGGGGGAATGAGAGGGAGCAGAGGGGGGAATGAGAGGGAACAGGGGGGGGGGAATGACAGGGAGCAGAGGGGGGAATGAGAGGGAACAGGGGGGGGGGGGATGATAGGGAGCAGAGGGGGGAATGAGAGGGAGCAGAGGGGGGAATGAGAGGGAGCGGAGGGGGGAATGAGAGGGAACAGGGGGGGGGGGGGGGATGATAGGGAGCAGAGGGGGGAATGAGAGGGAGCAGAGGGGGGAATGAGAGGGAGCAGAGGGGGGAATGAGAGGGAGCAGGGGGGGGGGGAATGACAGGGAGCAGAGGGGGGAATGAGAGGGAGCGGAGGGGGGATTGGGGGGAAATTAGGGGAATTTATCGCAAACTGGTATATCACCCTTCCTTCCCCCCTCTGTCCTCTCCTCCTTCCCCCCCGCAGAACATGATTGCATACAACACACAAGAAACAGGTGGTGGTACGGTGTAAAGCATGGACTAGCTTTAGCTGCGCCTCAGCTTGCTCTTCTGCTTCACCACTGAAAATTAGGGGAGTGGAGTAGGCAGAAAGAATTGTGTGAATGAACATGGGGGAGGTGGTGTGAGGTGCCAAGGGAACAACTGCAAGGGAACACAAGCAAGCGCACATGATGAAATAATGTATGGGGAGACAGTGATGGGTGCACGTGCATGGGAACTAGAGGGTGGAAGGTGAGGAGTGAGGGGGAAGGGGAGGGCATGAAAAGGAAGGGAAGGGTTGAGAAGGGATGGGGAAGGAAAGCGCAGGGCAGGGAGGGAAAGGCAGGCATTGGGAGGGCAGGTGACAACTGGGCAGAGGGTGGGGGGAAGGAGAGTGCGAGTGGGAGAGGACGGAGAGAGAGAGTGCGGGAGGAAAGGAGAGTGAGAGTGCGGGTGCCAGGGGATGGGGGGAAGCAGGAAAGGGGATGGGGGGAAGCAGGGAAGGGGATGGGGGGAAGCTGGGAAGGGGATGGGGGGAAGAAGGGGAGGGGATGGGGGGAAGCAGGGAAGGGGATGGGGGGAAGCAGGGAAGGAGGGGTAGCACCGGGGGGAAAGGAGGAGAAGCAGGGGGGGATAGGAGGGGTAGCACCGGGTCTCCCCCCCTCTCAGCGCACCTTCTCCCCCCCTCTGTCCTCTCCTCCTCCCCCCTCTCAGCGCACCTTCTCCCCCCCTCTGTCCTCTCCTCCTCCCCCCTCTCATGTAGTGCTTGACATACCCGCACCATGCGCGATTACGTGACGAATGGCGCGTGAGATTACAGGCGCATTCGCGCTGATGCTAAAGAGGCGCCTCATGCCTATAGCGGGGCGAGCGCTGAGGCTCAGGTGGCGCGTGATGCCTACAGCGGGGCGCACTCAGCTGCTTGCGGTGTGCGCGCTGCTTACAGCTGGGTGCGCGCCCCTTGAAGGGAGGTGTGCGCGCGCTCACCGGCAGGGTACACACCTTTCCCGCGTCTCGGCGGGCCTTAGTCCCGCGACTTCGGTGATATCGCCCCATTGCCGCGTTTGCCGCGTTTGGCTCGTCCCTATCGTCCTTTCCACCCTTCATGCTACTGCGACCTTCCCCTTTCACCTAATAAGGGCGGTTGATGAATGGCGATGAACCCCACGCCGGCAGTTTTTGGCGAGGAGAGGACGAAGGTGGGGATTGGACACGCTAAATTTGATGATTTTCCCGTGTTCGGGCTTAGAGAATGCGGGTCACGGAATGCGCCAAGGTCTATAGGCGCACGGTTTCCCCTACATCATGATCGCGACTGAGTTTTCAAGGCTAGCTATACTAAAAGACGTGGCATATGGCTGGTAAAACACTTGAACTGGTGCCTACACGAACCGTTTTGTCAAAGTTGAGAGTTCTGAGTCTCATAATTCTGAGAGCTGTAAATGCTTGGTTTGCACGGGGAAGTGTGCGACGATGCCTCTGTTGTCGCACGTTTTTCTGTACACCTGTAGATTGGTTCGTGCAGGTGTGTTTCCCAACCTGCGTTGTCGTATTCCTGTCCCAACCAACTTTGCAACACGTTGTTTCCCTTTGGTTTGGTTTTGCCTGGAACGAGGCCCTGTTTCAAACCTCTCCCAACCAACCTTCCCAAACCACCCCTTGCCTTGGTGTGCTTTGCGACAAACCCAGCTGTTACCGGATCCCAAGCGTTTAACACTTGGTCGGAAGGGTGAAATTTGAGACGCGAGCTTTAACGAGTGTTACCGGGAATAGAATGCGCCCTGCAGACCCCAACGTTGGGAAGCAACACCTGCATGTTGAGGGTGTGTGTGCAAGTCTTATGGGTTCTTCCAAATCGAGGCGCGCAACTGCGAGCCGCGTAAGACGCTGTGAAACTGTTTGTGGCATTCCAACCTGCTCCAAACCAAACAACAGGCCACCTCAAGAATGGTGAAATCCCAATATATCCCTTCCTGCCTGTCTCTTTCATCGCCAATCAAACAGTCTTCGGCATCAATCAATCCTTGTGAATCCTCTTTTCTCACCCCAATAACCATCAGGCATCAAGCTATGGCAAGGTTCTACATTCCATTTGTGGCTTTGGTTCTCGTTTCTGCTCTGCTCGTGCCAAATTTCTCAGGAGCGGATGCCCAGTCGTACATGGCGATCAAGGCGCAAGCGGCCCGGAAAACTGCTACCGACGCGGAAGCTGTGACGAATGCAACTCTGGCGGACTACAACAGCAAGCTCAAGGCGGAGGCTGCGATTCAGAAGATCATCGACGACGCGAACGCTGATTTGAATAACACCCAGTCGAATCTCGCAGCTAAGAAGAAGCAGCTGGACGACGCGAAGGCCGAGCCAGCACGTCAGGAAATGGTAAAGCTCCGAGCAGCCAGGAGTGCGGAGCAGGAGTACCACGACGAGCTTGAGCAGCAAGCTTCGGAGTCGCTCGTCGACGCGACAGAGCTGACCAAGGACGTGGTCCCCGCGAAGGAGCAGCTGGACCTCGCGAATCAGCTGCTCGCGGATCAGATCCTCATTGTCAAGGAGGCCACCGCCGATTCCACCTACTACGCGCGACGCGCGGCGAAGCTCAAGACTCCAGAAGCGCAGGCACTGGCCGTCGAAGCGCAGGCAGCCCGCGCTCAGGCGAATCGTATCCAAGGGGCTCTTGCGAAGCAGGCGAATCTCGCGAAGGATAACTTGGAGACGGTACAGTCCGATTTGGCCTTTGCGGCAAAGGACAAGGTTGATACCAGGAAGGCAGCGGACGAGCACATGGTTGACCTGAACAAGGCGAAGAAGGACGCGGGAGATGCGGAAGCGAAGTACAACAAATACGTGAGCGACACGAAGACGCTGCCCAATGTTATCAAGCAGCTCACGGCCGACGTTCAGGTGAAGGGGGTTACGGCGGCTAAGGTCACGAAGGATAACAAGGTGGCGCTCGGGCAGGCTGCTTCCGCTCGCGCTCAGGCTGAAATCATCTACAAAAATACCAAGGCGAAATCCGACGCGCTCAAGGCTGTTGCGAACCAGGCGGATGCGGACTCCGCGGCTTACGACAAGGCCCACTCCGCCAACTGGAACACCGGCAACAGCAACAGCACCAAGGGCAAGTAAAAATGATGTCGTGCACACGTCACGGCAGTAAAGCTTCCAGCGTGTTCTCCAAACCGGCAGTGTCGGAATAGCGAATGCCTGGGGCTCGTGTGCCCTCCTAGGAGCTCTGCCCTGGTTGGTTAGGGCTGCGCATTCTAGAAAATAAAAGGCATTGTAACGCTTTCATTATTCTAGTTCATTCTAATATAGTATTGGTCAAAGCGAAAGTGGGACATCCATACCCCGCTGCGGCTGGAATTCTAACCTGACAGTTTACCTTTCAATGTAGGAAGGCAAGCAGTTACTTTCCAATGAGGAGAGCGACGACATCGTCAGCGAGAGCGGCGAGGACTGCTGGTGCATGCGCACGACAGTTGGTAGGGACAAACACTAGGTAGGGATAAAACAACCCTGGATGATGCCGGGAAAATATGGATGAGGCATCGTTCTCGCCAAAATCGGCCACGCTACTGAGACTTCGACAGCTCGATGAGTTCCATGTGACAAAGGCCCCGGATGGAGACAAAGTGTTGTCGACACGAAGGCCCCATGCTGCATATTGAGCAGGTTAGGGGGTTGTCCTACAATCTGAAGGTTGAGCTACCAATTCTTCGTCAGCAGTGGGAGGCTCCGACTGCCCTGGTTATCGCCCGTCACGGCCTAGAGTCTCTCCCGGAACGCTGATTGTCCTAGTAGTGTTATCCGTCCGAGGGGCTTTCCTCCTTGCGGGGGTCTGTAGACTGCCCTGGTATCTGCACGAGCTCCGAAAATTTCCAGTTCAAGGCGATCGCTGGGGTTGACGAGGTGAACGGGGTGTTTGAGGAGGGCCTTGATAGTCCCTGTTGACGAGGCAGTGCCCTATATCCCAGACTACGCAGGGTGGAAATGGACTCTGGAAGCCGCGCTGAGACGTTGAATCATTACCACCTGTTTAGGCTGAGTGATGGTTGTTAGTCATAAAGCGAGACGGGAGGCGAGCGCTCGAAAATATATGGGCTTTGCATCGGAAGGTGATGGGAAAGAGCTTAATTCTTCGTGCGCTCGCCTAATGTCATACGCGGTACTAAGAGTGTTGAACCGCGGTATATTCTGGTGTCAGCAAGAGCGCAGGCAAAAGCAGCGGCAGACTTGAACTTGGGAGGTGATGCGCAACATGAATGCTAAGGACGCTCGTTGAGAGCGCGAGACTGGTGCAAGGGAGTGTTCCTGCAGGGTGAAATGGAGGAGGTGGTGATTGGAGAATTGCTTTGCAAGCCCAAGAGTAGTGCAGAAACGCTGATGATCACCAGCCCCAAGGGCCTTGGTGAAGACATCAGCAGTGTTGGCCCGAGAGGCCACGAAAGCAAGGCGCAGCTGACCACGCTGCTGCAGCTCACGCGCAAGGAAGTAGCGCAGAGCAATGTGCTTCGTTCTGTGCTCCAGTCTCTGCTCGCGACACAAGGCAAGCATTGCCTTGTTGTCGACGTACAGAACTGGAGGAGAACGAGGCCGCTCCTCCAAGTCGGTCAGCAGGTAGGTCAGCCAGCGGAGCTCCTGTGCAGCCATGGCCCCAGCGTAGATCTCGGCCTCACAGCTGGAACCAAGCACAGAAGAAGAACGAGTGGACCTCCACGAGACAGAACCAGAGCCAAGACTGAAGGTGTAACCCTGTGACGAGCGCTGAGTCGCCTGGTCGTCGGCCCAAGAAGCGTCAGAGTGTCCTGTGAGGACCACCGAACCCCGTCCTCCAAGCACGAGCCCCATGCCCGATGTGCTGCACAAGTAACGCAGTACCCTCTTCGCAGCATCAAAGTGCACCTTTCGGTGTCTACCGGGTGCCACGTAGCGAGCCAGAAGGCTGAGAGGGTACGCGAGGTCAAGTCGTGTGCACGTCATCAGGTACATGAGGCAGCCCACAAGCTCTGGGTACGGACCACTCGGCTCTACGGACTCGTCCGAAGGTGGAGCTGAGAGCGAGTGGCCGGTAGCCAGAGGAGTGGGCTGTGGCGAGGAGTACGTGAAGCGGAAGCGCTGAAGGACCTGGTGCACCATGTGTGACTGAGTCAGGGTGATGGTGCGCCGTGCTCTGTCCCGGGTGATCTGCAAGCCAAGATAGCTCCGCAGCTCACCCAGGTCAGTGCACGTGTGTCTCTCCTGCAGCTCCGCCTTCACTAGGGCCAGTGCCTCAGTGTCAGCAGTAGCAAAAACCAAGTCGTCAACGTACACGAGGATGTAGAACGGCGGCAGAGAAGTGTCGGTGCGTGGAAACAGCGACGGGTCAGCAGTCGAAGGAGCAAACCCAAGAGCCGCAAGTGTCGTCCTCAGTGTGTCGTGCCACTCGCGGGGCGTCTGACGCAGGCCGTACACTGGTCGCCGTAGGCTCCACTGGGTACCCTCAGGAAACGACCCAGTGAAGCCCTGTGGACGGCGCAACCAAATGGCCTCGTGAAGGCTACCCTGTAAGAAAGCTGTCGAGAAGTCGAGGGAGTGCAGCTCGTTGTCACGCTGAGCTGCAACGTGTAGCAACACCCGAAGAGTGGTCATCTTCGGGGTGGGGGAGAAGGTATGAAAGAAGTCGACCCCCTCACGCTGACTGAAGCCTCGAGCAACGTAACGTGCCTTGAAGGCAGGCGGAGAACCCGGCGGCCGCTTCACCCTGAAAATCCACATGCCACTGACGATGTTCGCCCCAGGTGGGGGAACCTCGTCGACGTAGGTGCCTGTGGACTTCCAGGAAGCCATCTCTGCGTCCATGGCTGTCTGCCACTGAGAGGAGTACTCACCCGAAATCGCCTCCCTGTAGGAGCGCGGGGTGGGGATGTCAATTGCATCCAGGTCTCCCTCAGGGGCAAGCAGCATGGTCGCGTGATGGGGTGAAGCGGCAGCAAGGCACTCCAGCTCCTCCTGTCTGTCCTCAAGAACGTCACAGCCAAGGGCAGTACAGCCAAGAGCAGTCTCACCCCCGACGGACGGAGGACAGGCAGGGACAGGGTCAGAGACAAGACTCGCAAGGTAGTCTAGGCGGTACACAGCAGCAAAGTCAACGAGCTCAGCTACTAGGGCAGACGCAGCAGGAGACGAGAACGTAGGGTCCGTCACAACCGTAGCAAGAAGGAGAGTAATTGTCGGACTGGACGCACGAGCAAGGTCAGACGGAGGTGTAGTACCTGCCACAGGGAAGCCAGTAGCACCTGGCTGAAGACTGAGAAGGTGGTGAAGAGCACCAGTAGCTCCACCAGGACCTCCAGCACCTCCAGCACCTCCAGCCCCAGCAGCTCCAGCACCTCCAGTACCTCCAGCATCTCCAGCCCCAGCAGCTCCAGCACCTCCAGCCCCAGCAGCTCCAGCACCTCCAGTACCTCCAGCACCAGCAGCTCCACGTCCTCTAGCACCTCCAGCACCAGCAGCTCTAGGGCCTCCAGCACCTCTGGTACCTCCAGCACCAGCTCCTCCAGCACCAGCAGCTCCACGACCTCCAGCACCAGCAGCACCTCCAGTACCTCCAGCACCAGTAGCTCCACGTCCTCCAGCACCAGCAGCACCTCCAGTACCTCCAGCACCAGTAGCTCCAGGTCCTCCGATAGGAGCTCCGACAACACCGACACCAGAAGGACTCGCAGCACCCCCAGAGTCAGCACCCGAACTCGCAGCACCCCCAGAGTCAGGACTCTCGGTCTCAGTACTCTCAGGCTCAGTACCCTCAGTCCCAGCACCCTCAGGCTCAGCACCCTCAGTCCCAGCACCCTCAGTCTCAGCACCCTCAGTCCCAGCACCCTCAGTCCCAGCACCCTCAGTCTCTGCTCTAGTGTCCACAGCAGTAGGCTGCAGAGGCGGCGAAGACAGCAGAGGTGGGAACCCGGGGGGGGTAGCCAGACGAGGAGAGCGGGCACCCCCAGACTCACCACCCCCAGCCCCAGCTCCAGTAGTCTCAGCTCCAGAGTCCACAGCAGCAGGCTGCAGAGGCGGCGAAGACGGCCGTGGCGGGAAACCCGGGGGGGTTGGCCAAGCGAGGAGTGCGGCGAGTGGTCGCCGTGTCGTCGGCGACGGCGTCACCCCCCTCAGGTGAGTCAGAGGAGTCAGAAGAGATCTCAACTGGCTCATCCAAGGGGGGTGGGTCTACCTGGGACACACCTGAGGGAGCAGGACCCTGTGGGGGAAGGGGGTCTACTGGGGGGGGGACTGGTACCAGGAAGAGAGGTGCGAGGGGGACCGGGTGGGACGCGTGCGGGTGAAGTCGGTAGTAACAGACCGACTCGTCGAAGGTGACGTCCTGAGAGGACAGAACACGACGCGAGGCAGGGTGGTAGAACTGCCAGGGTGGAGCGTCGGTGGGGAAGCCCAGGAAGACACAGCGGAGAGTGCGAGGAGAGAGCTTGCTCGCTTTGGTATCGCGAACAAGGGAGAGCGCGCCCCAGACCCGAAACGACGACGCATCACCAGGATGTCCCGTCCAACGGAGTGTGGGCGAGGTCTCTGGAGCAGAGACACGGGGCCAGAGGTTGAGCTGATGCGCGGCGTATCGGACCGCAAACGGCCACAGGAAATGGGGAGCAGCCGCATGGATCATGGAGGTACGAGCAACCTCCATGATCAGGCCAATGCGACGCTCAGCGATCCCATTTTGCTGCGGAGAGGCCGGAAGCGTGAACGACTGGGCGATGCCCTCATCCTGGCGGAACGTCTCAAGGACGCCAGAGGAGAACTCACCACCCCTGTCAGAGTGCAGACGCAGGACTGGGAAGTCCTGCTGAAAGCACTCGTGCAGCTGGAGACGAGTAGCACGGATCCAGGGGATCAAAACACCGCTGACGTCCGCCTTGCGACGCAAGGGGAAGACGGTGGTGTAGCGTGTGTAGTCGTCAACAACCAGCAGGAAGTAGCGCTCCTGGTCCGTTCCACCGACTGGGGCCGGGCCCCACACGTCCAGGTGGAGAGTCTGAAGAGGAGCAGTGGTCGGAGGAAACTCGGAGGAGTGAGGAGCGGCGCTCTGCCGCCCCTCGACGCAAGGAAGGCACGGCGGCGCAAGTGAGCGCGGGAGGGGG